CCGGGATCGAGTCCCGCATCCGGCTCCCTGCTCAGCAGGGAGTCTGCTTCTCCCTCTGACCCTCCTCCCTCTCATGCTCTCTGTCTCTCTCATTCTGTCTCAAATAAATAAATAAAATCTTTAAAAAAAAAAAAAAGAAAAAGAACATTGTGTATCTGTGAATAGTGAGTCAAAATGACCAACACCAATACATTCTTGTAAATTACCAGATTTTAAAGAGGGAGAAAATTTCTTTGAGCATTTTGGCAAAAAGTCCACATGACTTAGAGAGAAAATTATATCATGATCAGATATTGACAGCAACACTTTTATCCCAGAAGAACACAGATATTTAAGATAGCCAAGGAAAGAAAATGTGAACAAAAAATTTTATATCTGGCATAACTAACCTTCAAGTATAAAGGGCACAAATCAATGAACATGTAGGAACTTCTATGTTCTTATGATCCCTTCCAAAAAAATCTAGAAAATGAGCTTCAGATACCAGAAAGGAAATTATGAAATAGATATGAAAGACAGTGAATGTTGTGGGAAACAATAGCATTTACAGGAAAATTAACTTTTAATCTTTATAGTGAAATACCAAAATAGTTTTAAAATCAGTGTATTTACAGTGCAGCTACTATGGAAAACAGTATGGAAGTACCTCAAAAAACTAAAAATAGAACAACCATATGATCTAGTAATTCCACTTCTGGGTATTTATCTAAAGGAAATAAAAGCACAACTTATAAATAGGCACCCCCATGTGCACTGCAGTATTATTTACAATAGCCAAGACATGGAAGCAACCTAAGTGTCCATCAATGAATGAATGGATAAAGAAAATGTGGGGGGCTCTGTGTGTGTATACACAAAATGGAATACTATTCAACTATAGAAAAGAAAGTTTTGCCACTTGTGACTAGATGGATGGACCTTGAGGACATTATGCTCACTGAAATAAGCTGGACAGAGATAAATAGTATGATCTTATTTATCTGTGGACTCTACAAAAATAAAACAACAAAAAAACCTGAACTCGTAAGTATAGAGAACGGATTGGTAGTTGCCAGAGGGAAGGGGGAGGGGGAGTGGGTGAAATGGGTGAGGGTAGTCAAAAGGTTCAAATTTCCAGTTATAAAATAAATCTTGGAGATATAATGTACACCCTTGTAATTATAGTTAATAATACTGTATTGTATATTTGAAAGTTGCTAAGAGAGTAAATCTTAAAAGTTCTCATAAGAAAAAAATTGTAACTATGTTTGGTGATGGATATTAATGATTTATTATGATTATTTCACAATATATACAAATACTGAATCATTATATTGTACATCTGAAACTAATATAATCTTGTATGTCAGTTATATCAGAAAGTTTAGAGTACTTAGTATCCATATTAGAAAAAGAAAAGTCCAAAATTAATAACCTAAGTTTCTACCTTAAGAAGCTAGAAAAGCCATACAATGGAGTATTACTCAGGAACAAGAGGGAATGAAGTATTGATACTTCATTTATAGACGGATGTACACCAAGGACAAAGTATTATATGATTCCATATACAGGAAATGTCCAAAATAGGCAAATCTATAGAGAACAAAAGTGGATTAGTGGTTGCCTGGAGACTGGGTAATCAGGAAGTGATGGCTAAGGTGTGTAGAATTTCCTTTTGGGGTAAGGAAAATGTTCTAAAATTGACTGATGATGAATACACAATTCCATGAATGTACTAAAAGATACCATTTGTACATTTCAAGTTGTTGAGCTGTATGATGTGTGAGTTATATTTCAATAAAAATGTTTTTTAAAGGTTAGAAGAACAAATTAAATCAAAAGCAGAAGGCAACTTAACAATAAAGAGCAGAAATAAATGAAATAGAAAACAGATCAACTATAGAAGTTAATTAAACCAAAAGCCAATTTCTTGAATAGATTGATAAAATTGATAAGCCTCTAGCCAGAATGATAAAAAACAGAAAGAAACAAATTACCAATATTGGAAATTTAAAAAGGGACATTACTACAGTTTCTACAGACATTAAAAGGATGGTATTGGAATATGATGAACATTTATATCAATAATTAGACAACTTATATGAACTGGACACATTTCTTGAAAGATACAAATTATCAAGAAGAAATGGTCTGAATAGCCCCATATGAAGTAAAGAAATTGAATAATGAAAAACATTACCATAAAGCAAAGTTTGTGCCTAGATATCTTCAGCAGTATATTCTACCAGACACATACAGAAGAATACCAATCCTATATAAATCCTTTTAGAAAATAGAGGAAGATGAAAGCTTTCTTACTCATTTTAGAAATAAGCATTACTGTGATTCTAAAACTACACAAAAACAATAAAACTACCAATAAAAGCTCTTGTGATCACAGAAGCAAAATATCTTGCAAAATATTAGCAAGTCCAGTTCAACAATAAATTAAAAGGTTAATATTCTATGACCAAACTGTATTTATCTCAGGAATGTTGGTTTAACATTCAAACTTCAGTCTGTGATATTTACCATGTTACTAGGAGAAGAGAGGAAAAAATGATCACATGATTCAGTAGAGGCAGATAAAACTTTTGACAAATTTCAATAGCATTCATGCTTTAAAAAAATAGAGCAGTGCTCGCTTCAGCAGCACACATAGTAAAATTGGAATAATACAGAGATTAGCATGGTCCCTGTGCAAGGATGACAGGCAAATTTGTGAAGTGTTCCATGCTTTTTTAAAGATTTTATTTATTTGATAGAGAGAGAGAGTGCGCCCACAAGCAGGGGGAATGGCCGAGGGAGAGGGAGAAGCAGACTTCCCTCTGAGCAGGGAGCCCGATGCGAGGCTCAATCCCAGGACCTTGGGATCATGACCTGAGTTGAAGGTGGATGTTTAACTGACTGAGCCACCCAGGCGCCCCAAGTGTTCCATGTTTTTAAAAATGATTTCCAGTTTGGGGCACCTGGGTGGATCAGTCATTAAGCGTCTGCCTTCGGCTCAGGTCATGATCCCAGGTCCTGGGATTGAGCCCTGCATTGGGCTCCCTGCTCTGCGGGAAGTCTGCTTCTCCCTCTCCCACTCCCCCTGCGTGGGTTCCCCCTCTTGCTGTGTGTCTCTCTGTCAAATAAATAAAATCTTTTTTTTTTATTTTAAAGATTTTATTTATTTATTTGCGAGAGAGAGAATGAGAGACAGAGAGCACGAGAGGGAGGGGGGGTCAGAGGGAGAAGCAGGCTCCCCGCCGAGCAGGGAGCGCGATGCGGGACTCGATCCCAGGACTCCAGGATCATGACCTGAGCCGAAGGCAGTCGCTTAACCAACTGAGCCACCCAGGCGCCCATAAATAAAATCTTTTACAAAAAATGATTTCCAGTTAAAAAAAGATTAAAGCAAATTAGCAATAGAGAGAAACTTCTTCAACTCAATAAAGGGCACTTATAAAAACCTTACTCTATAATCATGTATAAATGGTAAAAGACTGAATGTCTTCTCACTATGTTTGGAATAAGGCAATGTTTGCTTTCCCCCTTCCTACTTAACACTGTGTTATGGTCTGAATGTTTGTGTTCCTCCCCCACCAACTGATATCTTGAGATTATAATCCTAACTAATACCATCATATTATGATATTCATGGGTGGGGCCTTTGGGAAGTGATTAGGTCATAAAGGCAGAGCTCTTATGAAATTGATTAGTGATCTTATAAAAGATTCTACAGAGCTCCCAGCCCCTTTCACCATGTGAGGATACAAGAACTCTGTGACCCGGATGAGGGCTCACCTGACTATGTTGGCAGGTTGATCTCAGACTTCCAACCTCCAGAACTGTGAGAAATAAATTTGATATTTTAAGCTACCTTGTCTGTGGTATTTTGTTATAGCAGCCCAAATGGACTAAGACACATTATATGAAGATCCTAGTCAGTGCAATAAGGTAAGAAAAAGAAATAAAAGCCACATACATTGGAAAGGAAGAAGTGGTCTTTACTCACAGGGGACATAATTGTGTTTGTAGAAAATCCTAGGGAATCTACAAAAGCAGCTTTAAAACTAATATAGATTGGGGCTCCTGGCTAGCTCAGTTAGAAGAGTATGTTACTCTTGATCTTGGGCTCATGAGTCATGAGTTTGAGCCCCATGTTGAGTATAAAGATGACATATATAATATATATATATATAATTATATATATATATATAAAATAAATTTAGGGCACCTGGGTGGTTCAGTAGGTTAAGCGTCTGCCTTTAGCTCAGGTCATGATCCCAGGGTCCTGAGATAGAGCCCCTCATTGGGCTCCCTGCTCAGTGGGGAGTCTGCTTCTCCCTCTACCCCTCCCCGCGGCTCATGATCTCTCTCTCTCATGCTCTCTCTCGCTCTCAAATAAAAATTAAAAAAAATAAACTTAAAAACATTAGTACAGGGGCACCTGGGTGGCACAGCTGGTTAAGCGTCTGACTCTTGGATTTGGCTCAGGTTGTGATCTCAACCTGGGATTGAGCCCCATGTCAGGCTCCACACTGAGCAGGAGTCTGCTTAGGATTCTCTCTCCCTCTCTGCTCCCCCACCCTCATGTTGTCTCTCAAATAAATAAATAAATCTTTTTTTTTTTTTTT